ATGCTCACTAGCCTCATTTATCAAATATGTACAAAAGGAGTATTCTATGATTCCAAGTATATTTTGGCATATAACAATTAAGAGAGTATGATCTCTCCACAATTTGGCCAGTTTTGTTTTATGTTCGCCTTGCTGTTTAATATGTATGGCTCTATGGATTTCGTTCTCCAAATATAGTGACATTGATGGTATATGTTAGATAAATAAAAGATTTGATTAGAGAACGTATCGGGTCAGATCTCAGGTCAATTCGGTTGGATCCTCTGAGCTTATGCTATAAGCTAGACTACAAAAGTCTAAGTTTTGAGTACATAGCAGAATACCTCTTGCAAGAAAGAATATGAGAGAGAGAGAGAGAGTAGGAAAGCTCAACTATTAGAGTGAGTTGAAACTAATGGGTGGAGGCCTCTATTTATAGCTTTGGCCATGAGTATTTTGGGAAGCCAAAATATCCATTGAGCCTATCAGTTTGAATTTGAATTTTGATATTCAAATATATCTTTTGAGTCATACAGCTTCTTGGACAACCACAAAACATACTACGTATTCTACTTCCATGGACAAAAGAGACAAACATGTCTGTTTCTTGCCACTCTAGGAGATTACTCCGTTGTTTAGTAGGAATGCATAGACTGACATTGAGTGTCACTCGTCTAGGTCTCCTGTCCAATCAACATCAGAATAACCCTCTGCATAAAGGCATTCTCCTTGATAGCACAACTCGTAGTCTATGGTTCCTTTCAGATATCTCATAATCCTCTTTATAGCTTCCCAGTGTTTTACTCCTTGATCAGATTAGAATCGGTTCACAAGTCCAACTATGAAGTATATGTCCAGCTTGGTACACAACATAGCTTACATTAGATTGCCAATGGCATTTGAGTATGGGACTCTCCTCATGCGTTCTATATCCCATTCTTTTATAGGGCACATTTCCTTGCTTAGGTTATGTCCTTTAACAATAGGAGTATCCAAAGGCTTACCATCTCTCATATTGAAACACTCAAGAATCTTTGCTATGTATGTCTTTTGTGACAATGATAGCAATTTCCTAGAATGATCTCTTCTTATCTCAATGCCTAAGATATATTCTAGTTTGCTCACGTCTTTCATCTTAAGTTCAAGGATAACCACCCTTTAATTATCCTGATTAGTTTGAGATTGGTACCAGCTAGGAGTATGTCATCGACATAGAGGGATAGAATGACAAATTGTCTCCAAACTGTTTGATATAAACACGATGATCTTCCTTGATCATTTTGAAGTCATACAAGCTTATAACTTTGTTTTCTCCAAACTGTTTGATATAAACACAATGATCTTCCTTGATCATTTTGAAGTCATATGAGCTTATAACTTTGTGGAACCTCAAGTAACATTGCCTAGATGATTGCTTGAGTTCATAAATGGATCTCAAGAGTTTACAAACCTTTTGTTCAATCCCTCTCTGTATGAAGCCCTCAAGCTCTTCCAAATAGATTTCTTCATCTAATTCTCTATTTAGGAAAATGTTTTTTTACATCCATTTGATGCAACTCTAGGTATAAACTTTTTACTAGGGCTAGTATCAATCATATCGAGTTCAAACATACAACAGGTGAGAAAGTGTCTCTGTAATCGACTCCTTCCTGTTGTGTCTACCCTTTAACAACTAACATTGCTTTAAGTTTACCAATTGATCCATCAGTCTTGCGTTTGTACTTGAGAACCCACTTGCTCTCAATTGCCTTTCGGCCAAGTAGTAGATCAACTAATTTTGATACTTGGTTGGACTCCATGGAATCTATTTTCTCTTGTAAGGCCTTTTCCTATTTTTTCTTAAGAGGCCCTTTTAGTGCTTTTTAACAGTTATTGTCACACCTTCCTATCAGATCCACTTAGAGTTTAATTAAAACCATTTTAGACCACCTTGGATGGTCTTGAGCTCAAAAATCCATGAAAAATGCTGATTTTCAGATTTTTACTGTTCATCGGGTAAAAATCTAGTTTTCTGGCTCAACTTCGAAAATTCATAACTTAATCTAGAAAAATCAAAATGGAGTGATTTAGAATTAGATAAAATTATATTTGAGTGCTATTTCAAGGAAAAATAATCTTATGAACTAATTTCATTTGAAAAAATGTCAGGTTTTTGTAAAATCAATCAACCAAAACATCAACATGCATCAATTACAAGTATTCCATCCTTTTGCTATTAATGGGAAACTACTTTACCTCATACATATAGCACTCTAACATGTAATAGCCAAGGCACATAAAGCAAGAAGTATAGCTACACAATCATCATTATCATTATCATTTAATTAAACCACATAATAGCACATGAAATTACATAGCAATCAATGCAATACTCAACATTAAGGTCAATTAAATCTTACTACCTTGATCCAATGCTCTTTGATTTTCTTGTTCTTCTTTCTTGCTTCCACAAATGCCAAATCCTAACATGGCAATCCATAAAAAGGGCAGCAAGAATTATCAACCATTCCACATAAAAATCAACAACATAACTCAAGGACAATCTTTGTCCTTTAAAGCTTCCACCTTTGTTCTTTAAATTTTAGAATTGGTTTCCTTAAACCCTAAAAATTCCCTTTTGACTCATTCCTACATGATTTTTCATGTAAATTCCAAATATCTACTTGGATTCAACAAAATAAAATTCCTTCTTTCAGTTTTGAACTGACCGAACCATTAGGGTTCAAAATCCAAAAATTGCAACTTTGGTTTTAATGCTTCCAACACTTGATCTTTAAGTTTATCCTACACCATTTTCCATTTTAAACATAATGGAAGCCTCAAAACTTTGAAAAACACATCCTAGGGTCCAGTTCTTGCTTTGGCCGAAATGGTCCTCATGCAACATAACAAAGGAAACACTCCAAAATCAACCTACAACCACTTGTAACCACTAGGATCTATCATGTTTTAAAGTGTTCTAGCAAGATTGAACAATAAAAATTCCTCCCCTACACCATAAGCATTTCAGCCAGCTCCAAATAAAGAGGAAAAACCAGAAATTTCAACCATACAAAGCATGAAAACAAGACAAGGAACGACTTGAAACCAACAACTAACCTTAAATCTGACTTAGATCGATGATCAAAGTTGCTTCCTTTCTCTTGATTTCTCCATCAAGTTCTCTCTTTTTCCCTCTCTTCTTGCCTTGGCTGAAACATGATCTGATTTAGGGGGAGGAAGAGCTTAATTAATGTACCAAAATATCCCAACTACCATCATAAATGAGTTGCCAAGTGTCACCTTCCTACTTAGTCTTGAAACTTCTTTCTTAATAAAGTAAATCATAATGTAATTAAATCCCAAAGTCAAGATCCTCTCCACTTAATGCTTGACACTTGGAAAGCTTTAATTACCATCCATTAGAGGCTTGACAATTGACAACTTGTGGGTTAAGTAAAGTGCAAGACTCTAGTCTTCACTTTCTTAATGCACTTTTACTTCGAGTTTGATTTCTTTTCTATAATTACAATGCTCTGGCTTCGTAATTATTTTTTGTCAGATCCATAAATTATTCTTCTCATTTTTATCTTCCTAAATTGCCCCCTTTGTCACAAATTTAATTTCCCAATAATTAAATAAAAGGGAAAACTAATTTCCTTCTCTTTATTGATTTTTCCACTTTTCAAAGGAATTGGGAAAAATCTTGGATACTTGAGGGTCTTCTTTTAATTCCATAATCTCTTAGAATTCCTTGAGATATCATAGAAATTTTCTTGTGATTTTATCCTCTTTAAAAATATTTATTTGGAATTTTCCAAATAGATGACCTTAAACTAGCTTAAATCGCCCTTAAATTCTTTTGTAATTTCTTTAAGGGCAATTTGATCATAAAACCAATTTTATAATCCCATATAATTCTCATAGAATATTGTCCTTATTTTTTCTTAATTTTTGAGGCTTGAAAATATTTTTCCATAATTATTCTTGACCAATTTTTCTTAATTAATTAAATTTCCATAATTGGTTTGGAAAACCAGAATAATTATTTTCCACCAAAATTCTTCTATTTCTCCTTGTCATTTTGACCCTTAATTATTTAGGAATATTTCTTATTCCTAATCATCCTTTTTGGCCTTTGAATATTTAGAAATATCCCTATTCCTAAATGTCATATTACTAGATGTGACACTTATAGGGTCTTCTTCATCATTTTCTAGACTAACGATGAAAGTTGCTCCTTCAACTGAGAAGCGTCTCCTAGGATTTTTGTCTCTGTTACTTCTCCTAAGTGGGGTTGCTGTAGGACTTTCTTCCTGTGGCTGGGTCAAACCTTATTGTGAAAATAGTTCAACCCTCCTACTTAGATTAGTTGACTGAGGAATACTTTGTTGTACCTCATTGCTATCATTTTCATAAAGATAGCTTGTTGATCAATACTCCCTCTGCTAGGGAATTTTAGTTTCTATTAATGTTGTATCACTTGACTCTCTCTCAGTCACTGAGCCATCATTATTTCTACCAATAAAGTCGCATCCCTTAGAGTTCTCAGAGTATCTTATGAAGATACACTTTTTATCCTTTGGTTCTAGCTTGTCATATTTATAGGAAGAATCACGAATATAGGCCGTTGACCCTCATGGTCTTAGGATACTTAAATCTGGTTTATGGTTTGTCTATGATTCATAAGGAGTTATGGTGACTAATTTAGACGGCACTCGATTAAATATGAATGTGACAGTTAGAAGAGCATTTCCCTAGTATGAGGTTGGTAGCTCAACTTATGCCATTATTGATCTAACCATGTCAAGGAAAGTTCTGTTTCTCTGTTCAGCAACTCTATTTTGTTGAGGAGTGCCGAGGATTGTCAGTTGCCTAATAATGCCCTTTTCCTTACAAAGCTCCTTGAACTGATCAGAGAGGTATTCTCGACCTCAGTTAGTTCTTAAGGCTTTGACCTTGGAACCTAGTTGATTTTCTACTAGATTGAGATATTTCCTAAAGCACTCTAATACCTCAGATTTGTGAGAAATCAGGTAAGTATAGCCATATTGAGAAGAATCATCGATGAACGTAATAAAATACCATGCTCCGTGATGTGCCTTTATACTCATTGGTCCGCAAATATCATAATGTACCAATTCAAGAGGGTTGTTAGCCCTCATTGCCTTTCCAAAAGGTTTCCTTGTGCTTTTGCCAGCCAGGCAATATTCACATAGAGACTTTTTCTTTTGGATACGTTTCCTAGTAAACCCTCTTTTGCTAGTTTGATCGTATGTTCTTAACCAATATGTCCTAATCTAGCGTGCCATATATCATAATTGATATCAGAAGAAAGCGCATAGCAAGAACTAGAATTAAAATTGTCATTGAAATTCTCCAAAACAAAGAAACTATTCAAAACATAATCATAAACTAAAAAATTGGTCCCATACGAAATGTCTACGATGAAATTATGGAAAAAGACATCAACATGAAATTTAACTAATGAAATAACAGACACAAGATTTCACCGAATATTTGAAGCATAGAACATATTTTGCATGACTAGGGTTTTTTCTCAATGAAGGGTCAATTCACAAGTGCCAATCCTTTTGACTTCTACTCTTGCGTTGTTCCCAACATAAAGCCATCTGCTTCTTGCTAGTAACCGAAGAAATTCTGTGAACTTGTCAAGATCCTTGCTCATGTGGTCTATTGCCCCCAAGTCTATAACCTATACAGGGTTAGTTTCAATAATAAACATAGTGCTAAAAACATAAGAGAAATGTATCAAATCTAAATCCAATACCTTTTTCTGCTCAGGGCACTCCTTGGCATAATGCCCCTTCTGTTGGCAACCATAGCATTTGATCGTTGCTATGTTCTTTTTTTTTTGTGACAAATTTCTTGCCTTTCTTGAACGAATTCTTTCCCTTCGTCACTTTAGGGCTGTCTTTCTTATTTTAAGAGCCTTGGCTTCTCTAGAAGCACAAAATATGTCAACTTGTAGCTCACGATTTTAGGAAATTTTCAGGCAAAATAGGGTCCAAAAACCCATTTTCACACTCCTTCACGCACCTCTAGAAGCCTTCCTTTAAAAAAAATGAAAAAAAATGAAGGGCCCTTTCAGGCTTGGCGCGTGGATCTGTGGTGATTTTATTCCACTATGAGACCAACCCCGATAGATTCGATTCCTTTTTAGGAGTCTATTTATGTGGTTAGGGCAACTTAAGGGGTCAGGGTGGGCCCCACACACCGGTACATGGCACGTCCTTGAAATTTTTTTAAAAAAATAAAAACAATAGGAAAAATTAAAAAAAGCATTTATTTGCAATTTTTCATACAAAAAATGTCACAAAAAACAAGCATAAAATATATCAATTTCTAGCTCATGATTTTAGGAATTTTTCAGGCAAAATAGGGCCCAAAAACCCATTTTCACACTCCTTCACACACCTCTAGAAGCCTTCCTTTAAAAAAAATGAAAAAGAAATGAAGGGCGAGAGGGTTGGCCCTTTTTAGGCTTAGCGCGTGGGTGCTGTGGCGCGTTTTTCTGCTGCGAGACCTACCTCGGTAGATTCAATTCCTCTTGAGGAGTCTATTTATGTGCTTAAGGTGACTTGAGGGGGCTAGGGTGAGCCCCACATACCCACATGGCACGTCCTTGAAATGTTTTTAAAAAAATATAAAAAAAGTCCCCTTTTTTTTTTTAGTCAGGTCAGTCTCCAAGACGAGTTTAGGTCAAATGGACCTAGAATGTAGCGTTTCACTTAAAGTGAAAGGCTACGCCCTAGCTAACCAAAACGACCTTGTTTTGGCTGGTCAGGGTTATCTCTGACCTCTAGCTGGGTTGCTCCATGCTCGGCTGTGGCTCTGGTGGGTCCGCCAGACACGCCATTTTTGGTCCTCCATGAGTTTCACCTCCTAGCTCTATTTTATGCATTTTAGGTGTCTATGGAATCGTTTCTTTGAGTTCTATAATCCTATGGCTTTATTTTCTTTGGAAAAAACATGTTCTTAAAGACCTAAAAAAACATATTGACGTGGCTGATGACGTAACTCTATGAAAAGGAGATTGTACCATGTTTTTTAACCTTATGGCAATTCAGATAGTGTTTTCAGGCTTCATATAGAAAATCAGAGTGGATTTTGGAATTAAATGCATAAGTCAATCAAGGAGCATATTAATAGCATAAATTAAACGCATATATATAATCAAATGTGCAACAGAAAGTTTAAAAAAAATATGCTAGAGCCTAAAAATACACACACACAGAGACACACATAAAGCCTCAAGATTAGTAGGGCTCTGATACCAATGCCATATAAATAAAACATTGGACCAAACAATTTACAAGGTTGGATCTTACGTCCGGTCGGTTAGATCTTCTGAGCTCACACTATAAACTAGACTATAAAAGTCTAAACTTTGAGTACACAACAGAATACCTCTTTGCAAAAAAGAATAAGAGAGAGAGCGAGAGAGAGTAGGAAACCTCAACTACTAGAGTTAGTTGAAATGACGAGTGGAGGCCTCTATTTACAGCTTTGGCCAGGAGTATTTTGGGAAGCCAAAATATCCACTAAGTCTATCAGTTTGAATTTGAATTTGGATATTCAAATATATTTTTGACTTATAAGATTCTGAATTTTGAATTCAAATCTAGAATCAATCATAATCAATTCTAAATATATATACATATCTAATATATATTTAATATATAAATATAAATTAATTAGATTTATATAGTAACCGATTGGATTTGATTCAGGATGTTTGACCGAGTTAAACATATCATGATCTTATTTGGATATTTGATCAATATATTCTCTTAATATCCAATCAAATGGTCCGACCTATCAAGAGCTAATCCAAGCCCAAAATCCAGCAGTACATAATAAAATTATTGTATATTTTTGACCTAATTACTTTCCCTTGGATTCTCCTGTCTATGTTGTGCTAGCTATAATTTGCACCAAAAAGAATCATCTATGGTCAGCATCGTAAGTAATATTTCGGTGATTAACTGTCCACCATGTACTTAGCTATCGCATTTTGTCATTTGATGATATATATGAAGCATGTTATTAGTTAGTATTTTCTAAGGACTTCATCCTTTCTGCCATTTTACCCTATGCATTTGTGGCCCTTTGGGTTGTTTTAAAAATTAATACCTAATATAGTTTGTCTCCAACATTTATTCATCTTTTTTTCAAGTAATCCCTATATAATTGCAATATTAAGAAGTTTTTTTCGTTCTGTTCTTTTTCTAATATATACTTGTGTAGTATTTATCTCAGGATCTCTTTTACACGCACACATACAACAGCAACAATAACAACAACAGGAAGAAGCAGTCTTATCCTACTAGGTGGGGTCGGCTACATAAATCACACTATGCAATCATCTTCTGTCAACAACCCAGTCCTTAAATATGTTGTTGACCAGGATGTCTCATTTAATAACCTCATTAAGCATTCTTCTCGATCTTCCTCTACCTCTTTTTATGGGACTCTAAATTGTCTAATCTGCCCTCCTCACTGGAGCCTCCAATGGCCTTCTCTTGCACATGACCAAACCATTTTAAGCAATCTTTAACCATTTTCTCTTGGATAGGTGTCACACCGATTCTTGCTCTAATATTTTCATTTCGAATTTTATCTTTTCTTGTATGACCACACATCCATCTCAACATCCTCATTTCTGCCCCCCTAACTTTGTGCCCTTGTTTTCCCTTTATCACCCAACATTCACTACCGTACAACATAGCTGGTCTTATAGCAATCTGATAAAATTTTCTCTTAAGCTTCTCAGGTACCTTCTTATCACAAATAACTCCGGTAGCCTTCCTCCACTTTAACCAACCAGCTTGTATTCTACGAGAAACATCTCCATCAATTTCTCCTTCCTCATGTATAATGAATCCTAGCTATTTAAACTTTGATACTTAAGGAATGATTTGATCCCCCATCTTTACCTCCAAATCACCATTGCCTTGCCTCTCCCAAAATTACAATGCATATATTATATTTTATACCTACTCAAGCAAAAGCCATTCGAGTCCAAAGTCTTTCTCTATAATTCCAATCTAGAGTTAATATCTTCTTTTGATTCTGCCATAAGAACTATGTCATCCGTGAACAGTATGGACTTAGGGATTCTTTCTTGAATAAGTTCAGTCAGAACATCCAAAAACATACTAAATAAGTAAGAACTCAAACAAGATCCCTGATGTAGGCCAATCTTAACGGGGAAGTCCTTTGTCTCACCTCCAGGTGTTCTTATACTAGTAGTTACCCTCTCATACATATCTTGTATGGCTTTGATATAAGCAACCCATGCACCTTTCTTTTCCAAAGCCTTCCACAGTATTTTTCTTGGCACATGATCATAAGCTTTTTTCAAGTCAATAAAAACCATATGTAAATCTCTTCTTTTACTCTTATATCTTTACATGAACCCTCTTAGTAAATATATTGCTTTAGTTGTGGGTCTACCCGGTATAAATCCAAATTGGTTCTCTGAAATAGAAGTCTCCAACCTCAACCTATATTCAATCACTTTTTCCCACGACTTCATTATATGACTCATAAGTTTTATCCCTCTGTAGCTTGCACAGTTTTGAATGTCTCCTTTATTCTTGTAAATAGGAACTAAAATGTTTCTCCTCCAATCATCCGACATATTCTTAGAGTGTAAAATTTCATTAAAAAGCTTGGTTAGCCACAATTCACCCTTATCTCCGAAACATTTCCAAACTTCAATAGGAATACCATTAGGCCCTTTACCATTGTCCATTTTCTGGAGAGCTGCCTTTACCTCTCCGATGCAGATCCTACGGTAAAAAGCCAAATTCCGATCATCTTTGTTAATCAGCAAGTCTTGTAAGTCTTGAGTCGTATACTCGCTTCCCTTACTAAACAACTTGTAAAAGTAAGCCTTCCATCTGTCCTTAATATCACTATCAATAACTAGTACTCTACCATCTTCATCTTTTATACACTTCACTTAGTCCAGATCTCTCTTTGTCCTCTCCTGTTGATTCGTAATCTTGTAAATATTTCTTTCTCCTACGTTTGTTCCTAACTCCTGATAAAATCTCTTATAAGCTTTAGTACGTGCTTCGCTCACTGCTCTCATCGTCTCTTTTTTCGCCAAACGATACTTTTCCCAATTTTCTACATTATTGCACAAATGTATAACCTTAAAACAATCTCTTTTCTTTCTTACTTTCTTTTGCACACTCTTATCTCACCACCAAGTCTCCTTATCTCTCTGACCATGATCTTTATATTCTCCTAAAATTGCTTTAGCTACTATACGAACCCTTGTAGCTATCTTTTCCCACATCATGTTCGTATTTCCCTACAATTCCCAGATCCCTTCCTCCAAAAGGGTCCTTTTGAATTACTCTCGCTTCTCACCCTTTAACTGCCACCACTTAACCCTGGATTTTACCATTTGATGATACTTTTGTCTGATACTCTTAAAACGTACATCAAGGATAAGTACCCTATGTTGAGCAGTCACCCCATCTCTCGAAATCACTTACAATTAGTACACAATCTTCTGTCTGAATTCTTAACCAAAAAGAAATCAATCTAAGATTTTGAGGCACCACTCTTGTACGTGATTAAATGCTCCTCTCGCTTCCTAAAACAAGTGTTAAAAATCTTGAGATTGCATGCAAGAGAAAAGTCAAGAATAGATTGTCCCCTATTATTAGCTCCCCAAAACCAAAACCACCACGAGCCCCATTGAATTGTCCTGCTTCCTCGCTAACATGTCTATTAAAATCCCACCAATAAAATTTTTTTCTTTGAGTGGTATGCTTTGAACCAACCCCTCCATATCTTCCCAAAACTACGCGCACACATACATGCTAAAAATTTGTTCGGACTCTGTAGGGTTGCTGCATTTAATTGCTTTAATTAGACATTGCCATGGAAATTACATGTGAAGGAGAAGATCTTCTCCCTGTATCACTATTTTAAAAAAACCAACTTATTATTAGTTAATAATTCATTACTAATTAGTGACAGAATTTTAATTTCGTTATTAATTGAGAAAAATGAAGGAAAAAATTCCATACACGACACAACAAATCTACAAATAAAATACAATAGCCAAGAATGGTTAGATCATTATGGTTAGTGATCCAGAAATGAAGTTATTGATGGAGGCTCCAATCAGGATGAACATGGATTTTATGACCTAGTAAAGTTAACAAGAATTCGGAAAAAGTTAGCATAGAAAAAGCTGTTTGTAAAAATGAATAGACTTTTTACAAGAAGTCAATGAAATTATGAGAAAAAGACTTAGATCACTAATTAAAAAAACAAAAATACTAATTGGCAAACCACCGCCACACTACCATATGACAAGCCTGAAGTAGATGTCAATTGGCAATCTCTATAAGTGGTCAAACCCCGCCTTTTCCTAATCCTATCATGTACGGATGCACACACCAACCAAGGAAAATCAAAAACAATTTTGCTTTAATTTTTCAATATATTCCTTCCAGTCCTATATATAAATTTTAAATAACCAAATTGAGTTTAACAAACAGTTAAAATTAATTAAAAATAATAAATAGGTAAAAAAAATTTTTTTTTAAGTATGCCTTTATTTATTATGAGAGTAAGTGAGAGAGACAATAAGTAAATAAATTATGAGAGAGAATATATGAGGTACTATATGCCAGTGAGAGAGAAAATGAATTATTAAAATAATTGGAGGGAAATCAAGTTAGCCACCTTTGTAATTAATGTTATTCATAGCCATTGGACAAAGATAAAACACTAAATACGATCAAATAAAGAAAAAATTGAAAAAGAAAAGTATTAAACATTCGGACAAAACTCAACAAAATTTATAAATTGGACTGATTTCTTTTCAAAAGTGAACTTATATATAGGACTGGAGGGAGTATATACTAATAGGAGATGCTCTCTCCAATCCCAAATGTAAAATCTGGTTATGAAGTATGTTTTGATCTTACCTTAATCTCTTTTGTTTCCTAAATTTATAAAAAATTTTAAATTATTCTTAATGATTTTGACTCCCACGTTAAGGGATAGTTTCAAAGTAAATAATTAAATAGGGTATTATACAAAAACCACTACATATTTTTTATAATTAATTAATTATTAAAAATCAATCATCTATTCTTTATATTTAGGCTATTGCACAAAGTGTTCGTGTGGAATGTGACCCAAAGCTCATCAAGTCTGCACTGTTCACATTTAATTTGGACGGTTTAGATTTTATTTTTTAAAAAAAAATAATTATTTTGATGAGTATAAAATCTAAAATAAAAATGATATCTTAACTATCATTTTTTAAGAAAATAATTTTATTTTAATTTTGACTATTTAAATTAGATCTGAATACCTGGGATGCCGATGTGTGTACTTTCTAGCTGGAATGGTCCCTTGTGGAACCTTTACGTAGTCATCTTCACGTCTTGGGAGCCGCGATCTGAGTCTCTTTTATTATATTAAGTTGAAATTCTGCATCTACCAAATTAAGGAACCTTGAAAGAAAATGATCGCCACTTATATTTGCAACGCAATTTTTTTCAATATAAAAAAATATGTTGGAACCAAGTGGTGCATGTATGTCCGAAGCATGCAATCCATATTGATGCTGTACAAGTATTAATTGAAGTATTATATTACATTTCATATGGTTGGTGGATAATTTGCTGATTATTTTATAATTTCTACTCTAACCTCTTTTATTGACATATTCTTAGTCACCTATTATTCAAAATAAATAAATAAATCTATTCATTCCCAGCTAGTAAGCATTATCCATATTCATTGACCAATCTGCCAAAACTATCATATTTATAAAATTTTCTTATGCAAGGATGCGTAACTAATATTTCTAATAAATGCGTGAAGATATTTTAGAGTGACACATATAATGATTCATTTAAAATAACTTCAGCACTAAAAGAAGTTAAATATACATAATAGTAAATTGATGTGTGCCTGTCTTTTAAGATTTTTTTTTATAAAAACAATTACACACACAGGAATTATTGAAGGAAAGGGAAGAAAATGCTAAAGAGATTTCCAGTTATCCACATGCATGCAACCAGATCTAGCGATGGAGTTCACACCTACCAACTAGCCTTGACTTTACGTTTTAATATTATCTTATTTATTAAATGAATTTATTGTTCGTAATAAAATATATTGGACTCACAACACCTAAGTACCTACTACTTCCCCTAGTTCTACTATAAATTGGGGCACATAATCTGTGATTTGCATAACAGAAGTTTGAGTTCAACAATGTTCTCTAGAAACTTGCTATGCCTCCTTTCAGGAGTGGTGTTTCTCACCACTTCTACCTTTGCAGATTATTATCAACCTCCTACTTCTAAGCCTCCAGTAGAAAAACCACCTATTTATAAGCCTCCTACTAAGAAGTCACCCACTTATAAACCTCCAGTCAAAAAACCACCTGTTTATAAGCCGCCAGTTGAAAAACCTCCTGTTCATAAGCCACCAGTTGAGAAGCCACCTGTGTACAAACCACCAGTTGAGAAGCCACCTATGCACAAGCCCCCAGTACAAAAACCTCCTGTTTACAAGCCACCAGTTGAGAAACCACCTGTGTACAAGCCGCCAACTAAGAAACCACCTGTCTTCAAGCCACCAGTTCACAAGCCTCCAGTTAAGAAACCTTCAGTGTACAAGCCCCCAGTGGAGAAACCTCCTGTTTACAAGCCACCGGTTGAGAAACCACCTGTGCACAAGCCACCAGCTGAGAAACCACCCGTCTACAAACCACCAGTTAACAAGCCCCCAGTTGAGAAACCTCCTGTTTATAAGGCCCCAGTGGAGAAACCTCCTGTTTACAAGCCTCCAGTTGAGAAACCACCCATGTACAAGCCACCAACTGAGAAACCACATGTCTACAAGCTACCAGTTAACAAGCCTCCAATTGACAAACCTCCTGTGTACAGGCCCCCCGTGGAAAAACCACATGTTTACAAATCACCAGTTGAGAAACCACCAGTTAAAAAGCCCTCAGTTGAGAAGCCTCTGGTGAAAAAACCACCTATTTACAAGACACCAGTTGAGAAACCACCTGTGTATAAGCCGCCGGTTGAGAAACCACTTGTGTACAAACCCCCAGTTGAGAAGCCTCCTATTTATAAGCCACCAGTTGAAAAGCCACCATCTTATGGTCATTAGTCACCAACTATGAAGCATGAACTACGTATCTTGCCGTCTTAATCATATTTTGGTATTCTGAAAATAAGATAGCAGGTGACCTCTACAGCTTGCCATCAAGTGTTCTATAATATTTTACCAATTATATTTTACATTGGCGTTGTTGTTATGAAATTGTAATATTTATCACTAATTAATAAAATTGTCTGTTTTACCCTACTTCCACTCATTTTTAATTATCTGTATATGTTGTTAGCTATGATTCATTACCATTCTCATTTAGACACACACACATATATATATATGTATATCTCAATGTATTACGGTGGATGAACAAAGGTGCCCGAGACAAACGAGTTCTAAGATTATCTGTCCCTCCAAATCTGGATAAGGCATATTGTGAAGTATTGATATTTTAAGGAAGTGGTAGGAGGTAAAGAAGATAAACATGCTCAAGTGAATATAAACGAGGTCTGCATAATCGCAGAGTGTGTATCTGATGCAATAACTTTTCTAAGAATGTGCTCCACGCCCTCAGAGACTACCCGAAGATTAAAACGCTGTGGGAGTCAATTATTGAGAAGAAATTTTATTAACATTTCTTTACAGCACCTATACAAGAGTGGTTTCGACTTAATTTGAAGTTTAATGATAAACCTATGTTTTTGCATGCATTTTCATATATTTTTTGTGGGTTTTTGTCATTATTATTGATCCTTAATTGTATCATTTGAGTATAATTTACATTAGAATGCTTTAACTGGAATTAGTGCATAATAGGGGTAAACTTGTCATAATTATGATTAATTAATTTTTAAGGACAATTAATGCCACCTTATTGTTAAATTTTGGTTGCAGATTGTTGGTAGATTTTAAAATAAAAATTAAAAAAAGAAAAAATATTAAAAAATAATAATTAAAAAAAAAAAGAGGGGGAGCAAAACAGTGTGTTTTGCTTCTACCCTAAAATTTCAATTGAATCATCATCATCTTTAGTGAGAAGGGACAAGGGGGCAACGACGAGAGCTCAGCCTTGAGTCATTCATCGTCTCTCCTGAGTCTTTCTGGTGGTGGAGAGAGGACAATGTTCTGGAGGCAGGGAGAGACGAGGAGAGAAAACAAGAGTGAGGGTTGACAAAACCAGAACAAAGAACCAGAGCTCGACTGAAATCACACCAACAGAGGACTTGGGTGCATTAGATACTTTGGTTAGTGGATTTAGGGTGATAAATGAAGAATCAAATATAAAGTTATCAACCAATGAAGGTTGGGTTTAGCAGAAAAGTAGTCTCCATAATGTGATGAACCAATATTTGAATTCCTATTAGGAAAAATATTTATATTTAGTACTCGACAATATCACGAATATGATTATCTCTAATAAAATAATACATGTTCCTGTCAAAAAAATGAAGATAAAGACCAAAAAAAGTTAGGTCTGCTGAAAGGGTTCGGATCCCCTCTAGGAAGGTATGAACCTTTCAATTTTTCTTTAAGAAATTGGATCATCTGAGATTCGATTCACGTATACCCAGATATGCCGTCTGTTAATTGAGTCCAGTATGAACTGTAAATGGAGGGTGCTTATCTGCCGAATGAATGACGTAACATGCTTTGGCCAAAAAACAAACGGTAACAAAAATGTTGGCCTTGGTCAAAACATGGGGAAAGTACTATGAAAGTAACGGTATCAAAAGTTTAAATCAAACATGCACTGAAACCTAGAAACGATAGATAAATGGATGTGAATTTTTTCATTACCGCTTTGTCAATTGTAGAAGAAAAGTTTATTCCTATATCGAATACAACAAAGAAATCAAGAGAAAAAAGGTACTCCTCACTTTCCTCTCTTTCACAGGGGCAGGAGTGAAAAATTTTACCAATTTATTACCCGTTTAAAATAACTTATAAGTATATTTTTATCTGTAATTTACAAAATATATATATGTAAAAGCAGTCTTATAATTGCCTATCCAAACCAGCCCTTAATGCATTTCTTAACATGTAAGAATGAAATACAAATGAACACACAAGAACAGAGATGTACACACTCCATCAGGTCTCATCTCCAGCCAAAACTAACATTATTCTTTTTTTTGGATACAACTAACATTTTCTTAATTATAAGCAAAACTACCCAACTTTAAATTAAACGTAATTAGCGCATGTTTTCAGTTCTGACCCCCATTCAAAATTAGAAGAGGGGTAATTGAACATATGCTAACATGGGATGTTAGGAAAACAGAAAAGGTCCCAATTTTATTCACAATTAAAAACAACTAGCTTTGTTGTCTTCTTGGCTGTAATTGAGACTAAAGGGAGTAGCATCTTGTATCTTTCATGGCTTCTAAGTATCCAAAAACCAATTATCAATACAAGAGTATAGTTCCTAAAAGAAATCAATTACCCATTGTTATTACAAAATGACAAAAGGAAAAGGTTTTGCTCATATGAGTAGGAGTAAGAGTTTCTCTCCAACATTTAACTCCATTTTCAGTCGTCTAATCATCAAACGGAACAATTCTAATCTAAGGCAAATAAAATCAAATCAAATGGCCAATTACATGTATGGATTAAACTAACTAGACCTTACCAATTTAGCACCAAAACACATTTATAGCTGGGCAGATGCATTATTCAAACAGAACTGAATCCAAAGAAAATGCAATGCAAAACATCAAGTTAACAAATTGTGAACATGATATTGTCTTCAAATCGAATCAAATTACAACATATATATATATATCCTAACAATCAACAAGAACTACATAAATTACAGGCTTTGAAAGACAAAATTGACACGACTTCATCTAAATATCTAAGATATATACAAAAACCTGTGAAACCAAAAATGTCTATAGCCCTATCCATTTTAGCAGGGAAACAGAACACTACTGATTTGCTAGACAACTTCCAAAAGCAATTTGCAAGGATGGCCTTTTCAGGCAGAGAAAAATTTGAACTACTAATAGCAGGGAAACACCAACCCCAATGACCTTTTCCAAATCGCTTGTGATGACGTACTATGATAAATCTGCAAAGAACATTCATCAAGATACCTATAGCTCCATTGAGTCATCTTCCCAGTTTCCACCAAAAAAAGTAGTCATTGAGACTGGAAATTCCAAGTTTGAGTCGGATGATACTAAATGCGAATACCAGCCAAAAAAGAAAATGCACAGCTTTAGTCCAAGGGAAACACTAACGAACTGACTCCAGTGTTCCTTAACTCTACTGCTGCTTATGTAAGAATACACTTGAACTAGTGGAGAACCCACATGCCAGATTTTGGATCAAAAATTTTAAACGAACACTGGGGGTGTCTAGTCGCTAAGCAGAAAAGAACCAATGGATTTCCCGGTTACAGATAAATGGGCTTAACATCATTAGGCCCAAAGCTAGCAGCACATAGCGGACACTTGCGTTGCTTACTCTCAACAACTCTCTGGATACATGGATTGCAGACCAAGTGATAGCATTTTGTAATTACAACCTAGCACCAAATCACAAACATATGAGGGTTCAGGAGGATAAAGCAGCCCAATATGTTAACTATGCTTAACCAATAAAAGAACTTCAGAAGGTTATTCATGAGAAGCAGGTCAATAATTCCAGGAACAATTTGTCTATCAGGGCACTGTTAACTAATGCTAGTCACAGAAACTATGTTGAAGGATGACCCTTGAGTATAGTCAATAAATTCCAAGAGCAATTTGTCCATTCAGAGTAGATGAGTGTCAAGAAACTATATTCAAGGATGAACCTTCCAAACTCACCGAGTGCTAGAAGATAATTTGAGATCAGTTTCACAACCTTTATCCATAAATTAAGATTGGGAAAATGAAAAAGAAGTTGGAAATTGCAATATTCCAATTTAGGCCTAGAGGAGGAAGCAGTGCCTGATCCGGTATTTTTGTAAATGCAGGCAAATGACTAAAATACCCTCATATCAGATTTTAAAATCAAGCTATCAATCATTGCTAGTACATGTCTTGTTATTAGTTGTTTAAAATTTACCATTACTAGTTCACAACTTATTAATAAGTAACTTGCCATTGTCAGTACATTTCTAATCATTTGCTGTTCAACACTGGTCATTGCTAGTTCACAACTTGTTAATAAATTTTTTGATGCAACGACATTTTTGTCATTTAACTATATTGGCAAAATACCCAATCAAGCATCACTTCCTCTTCTTAGATTTTGAAATCATAGGTGCCTAAATTAGAATATTGCAATTTCCACTTCTTTTTATGTCATTTTTCCCATTAAGATTTCATCATTGTCCAGAAGTTTAATACTTGTCACTATCACTATCATCATCTTTATGATTTATGCTCTTCCTTTGTGGATTCCTAGTCCTTGGTTTTTTTTTTTTCAATTTCAGTTTTAGTAAGCTTCACCAGTTATATTGTTCAAGAAAATATATTATATTGAACAAGTAAAATTTTGAAACCACTTGAATATCACAAACAGACCAAGCCAGTGGAATAAATTGGAAACTGGTCAATTGATTTGAAATTTACACCTTCGAACTGGCTCACTGCAACTTTACAGATGCATTTACTGGTAACATAGATTACCAAGGCATATACAGGTATTTAAATTTACCCACTACAAAGGTGAACAGTAAAAGACGAAAACCTAAAAGGAACTTGTCTAACATGAACACTTTATATCAGTTACTGTTTACCTCCAAAATAATGTTTTATATTTTTTTAATTACTTTATTCAACGTCAATGTGCTTTCAAAGAGCAACGTATCAAGTGTAGGGCCCAGCACAAATTGACATATTTCTAGAAGCTCCTATCATGTGACTGTTTCACCCTTACCATGTCAGAAAACCTTCCCAGATAACATCTCAGAACATCAAATAAATAAAAATCAGACATTCAAAACACAAAACGATTTACCTCTTTGGTCCTGTCTTGGCAGACACTGCACTTGACAATCTCCCTGTATTCTCCTAGTTCCTGCTGAAGCTTTTCAACAACAGAGGAGCCCTCAATCTGCGCCTGAAGGTAAGAAACCTTTCTCCTGGCAACCTCCAGCTCCTCCTCTAATCTTTTCCTGGCAAACCTGATGACAAGAGGGTAGGCCCTAACTGTTGTGTCCTAAATGGTAGGAAAGGGAAAACCTGTACACAAACACAATACCTTTCTCTCTCTAGGTCTACTTGTAACTCCATACAAGTCACTCGACTAATGCCAACTTTAGACTGCACTTCCTCCACAGTTTCTCTGGCTTGTTGAGATAATCTTCTGACATCCAACAACCTCCTCTGTGTATTTTCCAATGTGGCAGAACTTTGAACCTTATCCTCCTCAAGTCTCTGACACTGATCTGACCACAACTTTAACTGCATATCAAGTATAAGAAGTCAATGCCATGTTAACACCCGAAATGTGATTAAATGAGACCCAGCTACCTGCTCATCAATCCTAGCAGCTTTCATGTCAAAAAAATTAAGAGATGCATTTGATTGCTGGATCTCCCGTTCAATGGCCTGCTTCTCCATGATCAAAGATTCCTGTTTTTGTCTTGCCCTTACACCCTCTAGGACAAGCTGCATCAAAAGAAACAAACCCGCGAAAATGTCAGACAACAAATATATCTTTCAACAAAAGTTGACACAGCAGGCCACATGTCCTCTAGTTTTATCATTTGTGGCAGTGAAGATTTCACGACAGTTGAGGTAAAACACTTACAGTTTCATCTCAATAATAATCACAATGCACTAACGTCTGCATATACTCAGCCATGCATTTCATATTGATTCTATAGTCTACCACCAACCCATTGGCACAAAGGCTGTCGAATGACAAAGGCTGGCGTATACATTTACTACTTCTGGGGAAATGTCCAGAAATATATTGACTGCTAAGGGCTAATTATACTTGGCAACAGACCATGCTTTCTGGGCAAAAGACGGGAACAATGCCTAATTATTAAGAGAGGATTTCTGTAAAGAAATGGAACGCTTTTGGGGCAAGCACTGGTGAGACACGAGTCCTTGAATCCTAATTATAGGGGGTCTTGGGTTCGGTGGGGATTTAATCGAAGTGCCATGAGACCATTCTTTCAGAGCACAAGAAGGGCACAATGCCTAATAATTAAGAGACGATTTCTGTAAAGAAATGGAATGCTTTTCACCAAGTGAACAACGAGACATGAGTGTTTGGATGCTACTTATAGTGGGTCTGAGGTTACGTGGACATTTAATATAAGTGCCATGAAGCTGGCCCATGTTTGAACATAAAAGAGGAAGGATGGGAAAAGAAAATTTTGGCCCATTACCCCAAGAAAAAAAAAACCATGAAATTGAAATTAAACATGGATAATAGTGACCAGCTAAAAATAAAAAAAGACAAGCCAACTTTTTGGGCGTTAGAAAGCAAGTCACCTTGATATTGTAGTCATCTCTTTCAGTAATTTGGTGCAACAAATGTTGGTTTTGGGTTTGCATATCATCATATGCTTGTCCAATAGTCTGCAGAAATATAATCTCAACACTGTAAGACCGATATCAAAATTATTTAAGTTAGAAAATGCTAGAAGGTGAACAATTAAATATCATCCTCCTTTCCAAAGAAATCAAACTGGATATTTTACGATAGAGTCTAACCTCTATTTCAGATAAGTAGGCTTCAATTTCCCCACTTTTTGATTTCAAGACATCAGAGAGTTTACCCTTCTCCCTGAAATAGTATATTAAAGGTCGATGGAGCTAATCATCAGTCTTGAAACAAATTAAGCAGTTGACTAGATTCCATTTATTTAAATATAAGAATAAATTTGCCCAAACAAATGATGAGCAAAGCTGTAATGTTCACCAAAATAAAAATTGGGTAGAAACCATATTTTCTTCCCTTATGTTTGATCTTAGTTTCAATTTAGTGGGTTGATTTACTTTTGCTTTGGTTTAGTTATCATGGCTTCAATTTTGTCCACAAAATGTCACCTACCCTACCTTTCAACACTTTGAAAAATACTTACTTCCCAATAATCTCCTTTAGCTCCAGGCTTGCTTTCATTCAATAGTACTTTTTTTTGTTATAGTTTCACTAAACTGCATAGTTGAGAATTACAAGCACTCATTCATGTTTTTCAGAAAAAAGAAGGGGAAATAGCATTGTTGTGCAACAAAGAAGATTCAGAATGAACTCTACCTTCATCATTCTGAGTTTTCAATTAGTTTGATCATTTATTAACTCATATGTCTATTGTAAAGCCTTTGTTTTCCATTCTTTGTAGTGTAGGTGTCCGCAAAAACAAGTGCTTGATTTTTGGGGTGTTGGTTCACATGCTCCAGTTTGCCTTCCATATGGTCTCTTGAGGAAAATCATAAACTTTTCACATTATGTTAGGGATTTCACCTGAAGCTTGGTTTCTCTATTTTGCAGCCTCCTATTTGGATTTCATTTTCAGATTAAAAGAGAAGAACATTCAAGAGAGAACAGAAAGAGAAAGATGGATAAAGGAGGATGAGGTCACAATGCTGTTTAGTCCAAGCAAGCAGTTTGAGGGTCAAATTTGAAGAAACATCACGCGTAGCTAAGGGCCATGAATCCATCAATTTTTCATGCACTCTGACCACTATTTGATGGCGTTGGGAAAGAGAAGATTGAAACGCTACCTTAAATTAACAGACTAAATTGAATAAAACTCCAATTAAAAGACTAGTTTCAAACATTCAAACTCATGGGATGAACATGGGGTTTTGCCATCAATTTTACTAGATCTGCCACTGCATGTAATTCCATCAGGAGAATCAACAAAAAGACATCAGATTGATTCGTCTAGTATCACAAATAAAATATAAAGATGTTGGTTTCAATAATTGGAGATTTATTAAGAGCTCCTCAAGGAAACTAAATAAAAGGTATTCATGCTCATTAAATATTAGGCCAAAGAAAAATAAGAGACCTACGCAGGGATATCTACTGAAAGCACCTGCTGGCAGAAACACATTCTTTATCCCCCTCCTTCCCCTAATAACAATCTCCCAAGACCAAAAGGTCCCTTACCTTTTCCTTCATTACTCAACATCAAAAATAGCATCGTGGGTGATGCTTTAACTAATTAGAAATAAGAACATGTGAAGCAATGAATCCAGATGCACGCCATATTAGTATAACATTTCAATAAACAGGAAAAAATCAATAGATGACCTTTTTGAGGCGTCTAATTTCTGTCTCAAGTCAACTATCTCAGCTTCAGCAGTAGCAAGCCTCTGTTGAGATCTAGCCTCTGCTTCATTTGCTGTCTTAACTCGAAGCTCCAAGTTGTGTTCACCAAGAGAAGATTTCAAACTTTGAACATGGGCCCATGCTCTGTATTCAGAATCCCGTGCCTCCACAACATCCCTGCAGACATAAAGATTTCAACAGTGTTCCATATGAATCATGATCTTCAACAAACTATAAGACCTAGAATTGATTACCACAATCCACAGATTGCCTGTGTAATTTACCTGATTTCATGGCTTCACCAAATATAAAGAAAAAAGAAAATAAAAGAATTTTTTTGGGCCGGGGGGGGGGGGTTGGCCAAAGCCCAACCTGTCCTTGACATAAAATTTAATCAGAAAAGAAAAACAATAGTGATATGTCAGGTCAATTCCAGATTTGTCCCAACCTTGAATCAATGGATTCACGTCTATACATGTCCAGAATCAACTTCAACTCCAGCTCACTTTCTCTCAAATCATCAACCTGCACAAGTTGCCAAGACAAGATTAAGAGAAACAGGTGAACATAAGAATTGACAATCAGCAAAACCTAATGATGAGCCAGGGAACTCTCGGATAAATGATAAGAGCAACGAATGTTAAAGATGAGAAGTCAGGTTATCTAGGAGTCCAAGTTTGTCATAGTCTCTAGATAGAGAAGTTAGTCATCATATTGCTTCGTATCTATTTCATCAAATGAAACTAGTCTCATAGCTAAACTTTGTTAAGATGCTTTACAGGTCAAACTAGGGAGACATGCCACACCATAATTAAATTACTTATGCATACAAGGTCTAGCTAGAGTCCACGTCTCAGGATTAGCTACAGATTTAGCAAAAGAAGGAAGAAAATGAAGACTAAGCTAAGGCTCTGACGCATTTGGGAGGCATATGCTCTCCAACATAAATTCACTCTTAATCAGCTTAACTCCCTCTGGTTCCCTACCTAGACTACATTCCCACATTCTCCTTCTATAACAGCCAGAGGTATAACAATTCTTCATTCAGACTCTGAAGTCTCACATAGGCCCTGCCCTGGTTCTTTCTTCTAGTATAAGTCAACAAAAGCTCGTCCCCAGCCATCTTCATTCCCCTGGCATATGTCACCAAGTGATGCTGAAGCCCATTCCCATCACACGTGTTCTGAGCGTTGTACGAAGTTTGAAATTTTATATTATATTTAGCCACATTAATAGCCTCATCGCTCTAGGATGATTTGGTTCACATAACTAATGCCAGTATTACAAAGGCAAACCCACATAACCTTAACAGTGTACTTGGTCGGAGGGACTTGAGGGAAGGAGAGGGGAGGGATTTTTGCAACCCTTCCCTCCCCTTGTTGGTCAGGGCAGAAAATGGAAGGAAGATGACAGAATATGAAGGTCCTTTTCTCCCATCCAGATTTGGATAGATTCAGAGGGATCATTAAAATCTGTCCCACCTTCCCCTCCCCTCAATTAATGGCCTCTCTGGTGTTCCAGCCATGGTACTACAACTTATACACCCAGAAGACACACGGAGGAAAAAGGAAGCCTTCATATTTTGAGAGTTTTATCACTCGTGCGTCTCTTATTTGCAACTCAGCTTGAGAAGTTAGAATATCTTTCCCTCAATTCTGATTGTCTTTTCTTCCCTCGTTAATAAATATTAAAATGAAGGTAAACATACCACAGCAAGCAGCCTCCGTGTCTCAGCAAGTTGATCAGCAGATTTATTAGATAAAACATCACATTGCTTTACCTGTAAAAGCCAAAACAATAAAAGGATAAATCTTCAAGAGTTGTGAGAGTGCGCTGCCAATAATATCAATGTAAATTAAACAAATATACACACCTTCCTGTCAAGAATACTGGAGAGAGACTGCACATCTGCACGCAGAGAATGAATGTCTGAAGCTGCTTCTTTATACTTGCTTAATTTACTTTGCATAGATCCCATTTCCTCAGGAAATGAAGAGAGTAGAGATTTGAAGTCTGCAATAATTTGCTTCCTTCCTAAAAGAATTTTGGGGGGGGGGGGGAAAAGAGCCTCCATCACAAATGTATCAAACTATAAAGCGTCAAGGTAACTTGTTAAAATGATTATAAATAAATAAATAAAACAAGAATTTCCTGTTACCATAAAAAAATTTTAGAAAAAAATTACGAACCCGGTTCCCTTGCCACCTCTTGCAATTTATTTTCTATCGCATTTCTCTCCTCAATTTTCCTCTTTATTTCAGTCCCTAAATCAGCAACTTTAGATTCAACGACTGACAAAGACCTCTGGAAAACATCCACCAAATCACTCTTTATGTACCACTCCCTCTCCCTCCAAGCAAGATTGTCCTTCTCAACCTACATTGACGTGGAAAAATAACAATACAGTCATATCAGAAGCAAATCTCAACAAATAAAAAGCATTCAAAAGGCATAATGAAACTACCGACCAGTTACAACCTGTAGTTTCTCGAATAAGGTCTGATACTCAAGAACCTCTACTTTTGATTGTTCTATCTGATCTCTTGCCAGTTGGAATGCATGGGAAGAAGTAATACACTTCAAATTCTTCAGAGTGTTCTGATGAAATCATCCCAAATCAAATACTATAAACAAAAAAATGCAACTGTCTATAACAAGCAGACAACAATTTACCCCCGGAATAAAATTTACAGGAGCAAACATAAACAGTAAAGAAAACTAACTTGTAAATCACACATTTGCTGTAATATTCTTATTCTTTCCTCATGAAGATTTTTCAGTTCCATTAGCCTCGAGGATCCTTGGTCCTGTAAAACTCAACAATTAAGGTACCATTTCACAAAAACCTCACAACCAAAATGAAATTATTAAAAAAATTACCAATATCTCCTTTAAAGAAGATTCCATCTCTTGCAAGTCCTTTTGCTTGTCCCTGATCTTATCATTAGCAGCATGCTTAGTTCCGACATTTAAGATGGGAAAAACTGCCCCTTTTGCTGCATCTCTCTCTGCCTTGAGAGTTGCCAATTTGTGATTACTTTCTTCAAGCTCTGCAATGGTGCTTGCTAGTTCCCCTACAAAACAATCACAGCATTTTTCAATCACAAAATAGATGAGAACCACTCCATTTTTCTTCTCTCTTCCCTCCAATTTTAAGGACGTTTAATATGCAGAATGGAATAGAGAAGAGAAAGGAATCAAATGACAAAACTAAGAAATGCCTTTTCATGCGCTTAGATTTAAAAAAAGGTAATAAATTAAGTAAAGTCCAACACAACAAAATTAAATCCTTCTTCATTAACCGCGCAAAAAGGAGATGGGCATGAAGTAGCATAGAAGACTAACAAACAGAGAGGAGATGAAACATGGAAGTAAGCAACCCAACTTTATTTAAAGCCGGACATATTTTCCAGCGCATTGCATGGAGTCTAGCAAATAAGGAACACTGTTAATGGCTTATGAACAATGTCTCTTGCAATATATTTTCTATTATATATTGAATAATTTATTGATGCATTGATTTAAGTGTGCTAAAAGCGCAACTATTACAATATATAACGCCAATTTTTTTTTTTTGGGGTGTTAAAAGAAATTTAACAGAGAAAAAAGTACAGCTTCAAAGGGTCTAACACATTCTCAAGTAAAAAATAACGAGGACAAGCTCATAACAGATCCAAGTAGCAGAAGCGCAAAAAACTTAAGGGTGCAATAGTTGACCATATATACAAAACTAACCTGCAACATTTGCAAAGGGCAAGAGTAACAAAAGCACTATAGAACCTCAGTGTGGTACAATCTATTATGTTTTAATGGGCCAAACAACTGGAATTTATACACTTCCTAGGAAGTTTAACTACCAAAAAAAAACCCCAAACCAAGCAGCCCCTTAGTTATTTACTTATAAATAGGGACACCAAAATGATAAATTTAGGGCTTGCTTGGATTCATGATCAATGAGCATGTTCACATGAATTGAAACAAAACCCCTCTCACACAGTTATCTCAAATTCCATATAAGCCATTCCAGACAAGCCCTTAGTATGACAGCAAAGTTGGATGATCAAGAATACGACAGAGAAATTTACCTTTCAATCTTTTAAGCTCAACTTTATTTTTGGCATCAACATCTCGATGACTTCGGAACTCACTAGCCAACGACTTGTGCTTTAAATGAAGCTCAGTGAAGGCAGATCTCAAGGTTTTAATTTCCATATTTAGATCAACGGAGGACTTCTGCCCACACGTACCTGTAAACAGGAAGTCTCAAAAAGGTAAGAGGCAACTCAGGAAAAAGACTAAAAGATAATCATAAACAGCAATCTTTTCCTACCATCTCCTGGAAGTTTTATTAACACTGCAGCATGCAATCCATCTTTCAGGGACCAAAGTTTGTTTATAGCTGCCACAATATTTTGCATAATGCTCTTAGCTTTTTCAACAGTAACTTGTCTCTGCTCTTCCATCTGGTTGGACCAACTATATGAGGAGGAACTTTCAGTTGCACCAGTTTGCTCAAGTCGACTAAGAAGGTCATCCTCAACAGTGGATCGACTACCAACTGGCAAAAAGATCAAAATGTCCTCATTAGGAAACATTTTCGAACATCCAGATATTACAGTAGCACAGCAATCCTAGTTATACCAACTATCCAGTTTTTATAAATCTTGCTTTCTTATCCCCACTCCCCAAAAAATGGTAACCAGAAATAATACAAAGAAAGAAACTTCAAGTAGCATGCTCGAAGAAAGCAGACGCATAAATTCATGAAGTGAAGACAAGTCCATTAAAAAAGCAGGTGACAGTAAAGTAAATTGGCAAAAGCCTATCAAAAAAATAAATTGGCAAAAACAAAATCAGGACAGATAGAGAAAGATGGCACTTATGATGCACACTCAAAATTATAAATGACTATGTATTAGATCTCATCCATATGACCCCCAACAAAGCAGACTTTCACAGCTCAATGCAGTAATCAAATCCATAACATTGTAACCTTAATTTGTAACTTTTATTGGAGATCTTGCACCATTAAAATGTTAAGCAATCTGACTACAATACACACATCATGGTGTGAAGTACAGATGCCGTATCAATACTTAAGTGTCCAAGTCTGAACAACTGTTGCCCAACATCAATCCAGGTAAATTTAGCTCGACAATGATAAGTTTATTTAACCATTTATAATTAATATAATGCACCCAACATTACCAGCTACATAGAGAATACTTATGAAAATTTTTCAGTTAATTTAATGTAGGCAATTATGCAAGCCTAAAGACACAGACGCATTAGTTCCTTTATCAGAAAGCAAACTTGTTATCATTTGGATCTTTGTTATCATCTCTTTTAGGATTATATCAGACTCAATATTTCTTAATTTTCCATGATTTTCTCTCCAATAATCACAGAATTGAGCACCGCTTGTGCCTGCCTCTTCTGAGTTATATCAATTCTGTAACCTCTATTGAATCAATGAAAGAAAACCCTAGACAGGGAAATTTCATGGTACCAAGGACAGGCAACCACAAACCCAACAATAGGAAATTGTTTGGGAAGATGGGCAGCACATTTCACATCTACCAAGGAGCGCCACCATTGTGCCAATGCCAACGAGGCCACAACCATCATCTGATTAGGTGCCTCTCAATGCCCTTATAAGCAAACATCCAGGATATTTCCCTCAAATTATGATTGGGCATACTCAACAAAAGCAACTTCCTTCAACGGTCGAAGCGTCTCGTGTTTGTTAAAGGGAAAGGGAAGGAAATTACCTCACCGGCAAGCCTACTCAACTTGCAGATGCGTATCTAAGACTTTAAACCTGGATTGGGAAAATTCATATGGCTTGCTAACCCCATGCACTTGAAACAAGTAAGACCTACCTCCCTTTTCAAATGACTAGAGATAAGGGATGTAGTGAGAACAACCCATATCACTAGAGAATAATGAACCCTTTTTGTTGGAGGACAAGGCCTGAGCCCAATAAACTTAGTTTTATTTATTTACTAGTTTTGTTTATGGTTATTTGGTATTATCTTTATATCATGTCTTTTATCTTTGATTCTTTTCCAAATTATTAGCATTATCATTAGGATATATTTATTTATCTGATTTACACTAGATTTACCCTAGTTAGGTTAGTTGGGCTATATATTTTACTCCTTCCTATTCAGTATTATTCAATCAAGTACAATTCTTCCCATTAAATCTCACGGTATCAGAGAAGTAACTTCCTCCACCTTGTTTATCTTTGGGTCGCATGAAGCTTCCCCGCAACAATGTTTACAACCCAAGAGATTAGTGCGTCTCCTTCGCAACCGAGAATCGCAAGTTAGACATGAGCTAGTGACCAAAGACGACAATGGAGTCTAGAGAACTTCCACCGAATGAGACACCCTAGAGGGAATTCGAACTCAACACCCCCGAGTGTTTATGGCAACTACATCACAAAAACAATCCTCTTCCTCTCTACTTTGGGTTCTATGTCGTCTTCAATGGGAGGAGAATCAGTACCTTCTACCGAAACACAACATATGATAATTACCCATAAATTGAATGGGAGCAATTACTTACACTGGCCTCAAAGTGTTCTCATGATAGTGCAAGGCAGTAATGGATTTGAGCCAAGAGGAAAAAGAATTCCAAAGGATGGTGTGATCATTGCAACAAAAATGATCACTCTAGGGACACATGCTGGAAACTCCATGTTAAGCCAACTAACATAAAACAAAGACGAAAACCAAAAAGCAAGGGCTACACTACAGTGACTGATGAGAAAGAGCAAATTGGAGAAACCTTAAGGTGAGAGGAATTACAAGTATTCAGACAAATCCTTGAGAAACCCAATAACCCCAAAAAGCTCTAGTAAAATCAGATAATTCTATTATAGCTCTAAATACCATGATAACCAGTGATAAGATCGTTGACTCAGGAGCTACAAATCATAAGATGGGTAATAAAACTCTATTCAAATCTCTAAAGTAATGTCAGGATGAGAACCTAATGATGAAAGTTGCTAATGGGATCTTCTCAAAAGTTTGTGGAGTTGGAACTCAGTGAGCAAAGTAACCAAAAGTCATTAGTGTAGAGTGTTTTATGATGATGTTGAATGTGTTTTTCAAGATCTGACGGCAAGAAAGAGGATTGGCATTGCTAAGGAATGGGACAACTCTTATCATCCCCAAGGCACAAGAATCACAAATAAAAGTGTGAGCAAGGCATTATTTAGTCCAAATTCTTTAAATAAAGATGTATTATTGCGGTACTCTAGACTAGGCAACCCTAGTTTTGATTATACGAAGCACTTGTTTCTAGATTTATTTAATAAAAGTTCAGTTCCTTTTCTATGTGAAACTTGCCAACTTGCCAAACAAACAAGAACCTCCTGATTCAAAATAATCCTATAAACCAACGACACCATTTACCCTAATACATAATGACATTTGAGGACCCGCAAGAATTAAATCAACCTCTAATGCTAAGTGGTATTAATGACCACACTCAAGTGACTTGGGCATATCTAACAAAAGAAAAATTAGAAATTCTTGAAGTCTTCAAAAGTTTCCATGCATTTGTAAAAACTCAATTTCAAGGGGCAATTAAAAATATTATGAAGTAACAATGAAAAAGAATATCTTAATACAACCTTTAAGGAATTCCTTGACTAACTATGGATCCACCATCAAACCTCATGCGCTTACACACCTTTAACAAAATGGGGTTACTGAAAGAAAAAACCAACACCTCTTAAAAGTCACTCAAGCCATTATGATTGCCCAAAAATGCTCCAAACCTATTCTAGGGAGAAGTTATTCTCACAGCAACCTACCTTATCAATAGAATGCCCTCAAAGGTCCTAAACTACCAAATTTCTATCCAAAAACTACTTGAAACCTGCCCTAATTCCCCTTTAGCTCTAAACATTCCCTTGAAAGCATTTAGATGTGTGGTATATATACAAAAGTGATGGTAACAAGCTTGAGCCGAGAGCATTAAAATGTATCTTTTTTGGTTACTCCCCTACTCAAAAGGGATTCAAGTGTCATTACCCAACAACAAAGAGGGTTTGTCACCAAAGATGCTGTATTCTCTAAGGAAGACGCCTTTTATTCCAAGCTACCCATTCAAGACGAGAATTATGACACTGAAGAATGGCTAAATTTGGATTCCACTACTAAAACAAGGCAAATAGAACCCAAACCACACTTGGACAGTTCTAACACAAGCCAAAACATCCCTACCAATTCACCTATAATCCCTAAACCAAACCTAGACAATATAGACTAAACCATACCGAGTTTGACAATCCTAAATCTTCATCAACACCCTGAATCAACAACCGAGCAGCACCCAAACTCCCAACCTAACCACAGCAACCTCAAAAACAATACGGAAATTGATATAGGGATGGACAAGTAGCAAAGCACTAAGTCAGATGATGAAGCAAAGCAGCAAGATAATAAAGTCTCTCACATTCCAAGGCATAACCAACACTCCAATCCAATGTCAAATCCTGAGGATCTTGGCCAGTCTATTATTCTTAGAAAACGGGTAAGATCTTATACTGAGCACCCAATCAGTAAATTCGTTTCCCGTGACAAATTATCTCCTAGAATGCAGCCATTTACGACAAACCTGTCCAATGAGAGAATACCAAAGACATTCCTAGAGGCCATTGGTAACCCAAATTGGAAACAAGCTACTAAAGAAGAATTGGAAGCACCGGAGAAAAACAAAACATGGAAAAATCACTTATCTACCCTCAAGAAAGAAGACAATAGGTTGCCAATGGGTTTTTACCATCAAATACAATCCACATGGAAGCATAAGCAAGTACTCCCTCCGTTCCTTATTATAAAAGACGAATAACCGAATTATGTTAATAAAAAAAACAGTTAAAATTAGTTAAGAACAATCAATGCGTAAAAAATATAATTTTTTTCCACAAATGCCCTCATTAATAAGGAGAGAGAGCATGAGAGAACAATTAAATTATTAAAAGAAAGAGAAGTGGAAGGAAAAGAGAGTGTGAGTTGGAAACAAAATAAATATGGGTAAAATAAGAAATCAACATAAAAAAGTAGAGACAACTTTTAAGTATCTCTTATATATAGGAACATGCTATAAGCATCACGTCTCTTATAATAAGGAACAGAGGGAGTATAAGGCAAGACTTGTAGCCGAGGTATACACAAACCTACAAAATTACCTACCAGGAAAACCTTGCCCCAGTAGCCAAACTTAATACCATTTAGGTCCTCTCAACAATGGTAGCGAATCTAGACTAGCCACTCTACTAGCTAAAAGTTAAAAAACACCCTTTTAAACAGACCTTGAACAGGAAGTGTATATGGACATACCAGTTGGGTTACAAAATTCCACAAATTATCGCTCAAAGCTCTGCAAACTACAAAAAGCATTGTACAGATTGAACAATCTCCTAGAGCTTGGTTTGGAACATTATCCAAAACGATGAAAAAAATGGGATACTCACAAGGCCAATTAGATCATACACTATTTACAAGGCATGCCGATGACCAAATAACTGTCCTTACAATATATGTGAATGATATCATGATTACAGGAAACGATGAAAGTGTCGTGAGAAGGTTGAAGTCCCTGGCAGATGAGTTTAAGATGGAGGATTTGGGACAACTAAGATATTTTCCCAGAATGGAGATTGCTAGATCTAAACCGGGAATCAATGTCTCTCAAAGTAAGTATACTGTTGCAGGAGACTAGAATCTTGAAGCCAAACCCGCAAAAACTCCCACAGAAGCTAACTGCAATTTAGAATACAAAAAAGATGGTTTACAGGTTGACACCAGAAGATACCAAAGGCTAGTGGGAAAACTCATCTACTTAGCTCATACTCAACCAAATATAAGTTTTGCAGTAGGGGTAGTAAGCCAGTTGATGAATAAGCCTCGAGAACATCATATGGAAGCTGTATACAAAATTCAGCAACATTTAAAGATGAATCGACAAAAAAGTTTTTTTTTTTGGGAAAAAAAAGAGTCTAGAGGCATAAAGATTTATACTAATGCAGATCATGGAAGATCATAGCTGGATAGGTCTACCACTAGGTACATTACTTTCTAGTGGGGAAACTTAGCTACTTGGAGAAGTAAAAAGCAACTAGTGGTTTCCAGAAGCAGTGCTGAAACAAAGCTAAGGGTCTTAGCTCTTAAGAGTCTGTGAAGGGATCTGGATGGTCAAAGTACTAAAAAAGCCGTGACGCGAGCACAGCACACCAATGAAGCTATAGTGTGATAGTAAGTCAGCCATAGAGATGGCCAGAAATCATATGCATCATGACAAGACAAAGCACATTGAAGTTGACAGACACTTTATTAGGAAAAAAATTGAAGGAGGCATCACTGATTTGTCTCACATCAGAACAAAACTCAAGTGGCAGATCTATTTACTAAATCATTACCGAGAAACTCATTTGAAGGACTAAGAAGCAAGCTGAGAATGATTGATATCTACTTATAAACTAGAGGGGGAGTGTTGGAAGACAATGCCCAAGCCCAATAAATTTAGTTTTATTTATTTAGTAGTTTCATTTACAATTATTTGATATTATCTTTATATCATGTCTTTTATCTATGATTCTTTTCCAAATTATTAGCATTATCATTAGGACATATTTATTTATCTGATTTACCCTAGATTTACCCTAGTTAGCTTAGTTGGGCTATATATTGTACTCCTTCTTACTTAGTACTACTTCCGGTCCTTAATATAAGACTTTGTTCGACTTTTATTTTGGTCCTAAATATAAGACCCCAATCCACTTTGTCTCTCATATTTATACATTTTTTTCCAAACTAGCCCTTCTAACAATGATAGTTCTAGTCAATACACTTGATTAACAAGGATATTTTAGGAAAGACAATACCTATTTAGGACAAATAACTAACTCAACTTACTTCTTTAATCTTCTCAAATTAATCAACTGACTCTTATAATTAGGACCAAAGGTAGTATTATCCAATAACGTACAATTCTTCCCATTAAATCTCACTTTTCCAACTTAAAGGGATGCAGCATGAACTCAAACTGAGGGGACAGATTGATCTATTTGATGATCACCAAGGGTCTTATAGTGCTGATTTGGTGTACTATACTACATGCAGACAGTTGAAGCGGAAAGAGATCACAAGTTATTACTTGGCCTAATTGCAAGAATGGAAGATCCCAAAGGACGCATCATGAGGACTCACCCCATTTCCTCTCACCATGAAGCCTATGATCCGTTTTAGTAGGAAGAGCATAAGAAACATCTAGTAAAAAGCACTTCTTTGAATCCTAAGCCATCTGTCCAATCACGAGAGGGCAATTTCTTAATCCAAAACACAATATATCAGCTAAATGGTGTCATCATTATGGCAAAAATGATCACACCAAGGAAATACCACCAAGGCTCTTGATACAGAACAACTCAAGTGTACAAGCTATTCAAGTCATTTTATGGATTGAAAGAGTATCACTGGGCATGGTTTGAAAGAAAGATTCGCAGGAGTTTTGAAGTAGCCAGGTTAAGCTCAATGCCAAAGAAATCATACATTATTTTTTAAGAAAATAAAATTAGCAAGATGTCCATACCTATAGTGTATTTAGCACATAGTAATCACCTATAGTGTATTTAGCACATAGTAATCACTAGAGATGATAATGGTAAGTTACCTAAAGAAGTCGTTGGGAAATGCACTTGACATATAAGATCTAGGAAGGCTGAGATGATTTCTTAGAATGAATGTAGAAAGATCACTGGGGGTTCACAATGTCTCAGAGAAAGCATACAATTGATCTATCAAAGGAAAATGGGATGATACTATAGACCAGCAGATACTCCGATAGAAGTCTACCAACAGAAAAACTAGAAGCAACAGCACCTGGTAGCAATGTACAGAATTCTAGAGTACTTTTAAATGACTCCTCCAAAAGACTGTTTTTTGAGAAAGGAAGAAAATCAGACCATTAAGGTGCACACAAATGCAGAATGAGCAATTGCTAGAATATCCTCACAGATATTGCACCTCAACGTGCGGTAACTCAGTTACTTGGCCTAGCAAGAAAGAACCAATTGTTACTTGAAGTAGAGCTAAAGATAAATATGGAGCTCGGGCACTAGGATTATGTATATTGAGATTTGAGGCTGGGCATGCTCAACATAATATTTTCCATCTTGAGAGGAAGTGTAGGCAACCACACAAACTCAAAGACACAAGCCCATCAGCTCCTTAATCTGATTGAAATATTACTATTACTTTTATTTAGATTTAGATTAGATTTTATGTATTTCAGGATGTATATCAGCTTACGTTTTCACCTTCCCATGATTTTCTCTTCAAAATAGCAGACATTAGTGAGAGTAGCACGCACACATGCATATCCATGGGCATAGCCCAGCCCAGATAACAAACTGCAAAAATTGCCACTAGAGGTCTATTTTTGAGGAATTCAGCTTCCCCCAAATACCAAAGCAAAAAGAAACATAGCAACATTAAAGAAACAGCAACACCTAATAAAACTATAAAGCACGAAATCCCAGCCAAGATACAGCCATGATTAAGCACAACAGAAATTACACTGAACTAAAATGAAACATTGAATGATTTAAGCCCTTAAAACACAAGATCCAAAAAGAATCTACAAGTAAAACTTACCAAACTAACACTTATATATTTACATTGAAAAGTTACAGATGATAAGAAAGCAATACAGAATCTGAGGACACAAATTCCTCTCAAAACATAGAAATACAAATAACGGGCACATTAACTTAGAAGAGCTTTCCAATCCCTTAGTACGATAGCAACATTTCAATTGAGTCCAAAAGAACTAGAATTGGATTTGGCACAGCTTTAGTAGGTTTTTTTTTTTTGAAGTATTGATGTTCTCCATCACTCATCCTTAGAGATACAAACATTATTATGACAACTGGGTGGTTAATTTTTCTTCTAAGCAGGTCTGTGACTCCAGAATTCATATGATCTTCAAATGCTTGAACAACAATCCTGAGTGCATATGAGAAATCCAAATCTGAACTGAACATAAAGAAGGACCCCAAACTCTAGTTTCCATCATTTGCCTAAGCGTATCAATGACAAATGAAACTGCATAGGTAAAATATTCTTACATTTTGATCATGCATAAGTAGCATCATTTAGATGTATTCACTGGGGAAACTAATATTTACATTGATCATTATACGTATGGCACAGCAATTAACATCTCCCGCAAAATCAGTTCCTTCTATATAGCATACAAATAAATTGAACTTAACAGGGACAAATGTCTCTTGAATTATATTACAGCTTGAATTAAGTTTAACATCCTTCCCGCCAAAATAGAAATTATGGCTTACCTGATAATGGAAAATTACACAAGCACTTTTATATTTCACGTAAGAAGAAAAACAGTATTTTAATGCACACAATCAAAAGAAGAACTAAACATATTTAACAAGAAAAAAAATAAGGAAAACATGAGATAGTTAATAAGTTTGCTCTAGCAATTGACCCTCACCACCTGTCCCTGATGTAACATTTGTATGCAATTTGCTGCTGCTAGACTCGACCGTTTGAGCAGAACATGACACCAAATCATCAATTACCTGTATTTAAGAGATGGGCAAAACTCATGCTCTGATCAAGTGATATGATTCAATATACAAACGAATCACCATATTGAAGGAAGCAAGAATAAAGGGGGGGGGTTACCTGTTCCCAAGACTTCTTGACCACCATTAACATGGAATCATATGAATGTTGTCTATCCTTTAGTTGGAAAAATTTATTCTCAAGCGCAGTATATTCTAACTTCTGAGTTTCCAATTTCTGTGTAAGCTTTTGATTTTGAAACTGAAGAACAGCAATATCAAGCTGCATCATGAGAAAAGAATCCAAAAGTTTAAATGGAAGCAATGCTTAGTGTTGACAATAAAGCCAAACTGAGAAGACAAAGTGGCTTCAAAAGGAGTAAATTATATAAGTTCTTGTCTGTTGACAAACTTACTACTCCAATCAGTCTTTCCAGTTACCACTCTCAAGGGTATTCTGGTTAAAGCTCTAGATAAAAGGGTAGGCAAGGACGGAAAGATCAAAAAAGACAAATAACCACACGGATTTAGCAAGAGAATTCTATCCCTAATCATGAAAATAATGACCACATCATCAGGTAAGAGAATTTTTTATTCAGAGTCTAGACAATTAAAGATATGCTCTAATTTGTAAAATACTTAATGCAATCAGCAAAAAAATTATACAGGCATATCCTTTTCTTCTTAGTACAGTTTGAATCTCTGGACACTAGGCAATCACGGTAACCATTTTACATGCTCCCAGGGTTGACAAGATTGAGATCTTACATAAGATCAGCACAATTACTTCTCAGAGCAGAAGCAATTAATTTTCAACCCAGCTTTGAATTTTTACAAAGTAATTCAATTCACTAGTGGGAAGCTAAGAGCGCTGGAAAGTAAAATAGCCAAAGACACCAGGGCCCAAAAGAGGATGAAAAGATCCAGTCTTGTACAGATGCATCTAGATCTTGTCATATCAAAGCTGTTAGTTGGCATAAACCATTGAAGTGGAGTCTGACAAATCTGGGGTGCAGAAGGGACGTTTCCTCTCCCACACACAACGATAATTGCAGGGATGAGAATTATGGAAATGATGAAGCAATGGGGAAACCAGATGCTTGATCCCAAAGTTTATGAAGAAGAAAGACTCAATGGCTTCAGATGCTCAATCTGCTTGATTTCATTACCACAGCATAGGAATTTCTGGAAGAGAATGTGGTGGAAGAAAACACACTCCGCCAAAGAATGCGAACAAACCGAACAGGACAGAGGTTTCGGTTTCGGTTTAGGGAGATGACTTTAAACGCAGCGTGTCAGTTGGATTAGCTAAAAGGTAAACCTGGTGGACTGGCGAGCAGCGGATCAAACGGGCGGTAAAGATTCTCTTGATTGGACAAAACATACAAGCCACCAGGAAAGGACACATTTTGTTTGCCAAAGAGGGAGAAATTTAGAATCTAACCAATGACATCATTACAGCAGCAGGCATTCAAAACGCATTAATATTATGAATCAAACTATAAGAAGCATAATGCGGAATGAAAATGTGATGTATGGGTTATAACCCCCAACATATTAGCACAAGATTGGGCCCCCCATTTACAAATTACACAGCTAGATAGACGACCTCAAATCAACTAGGCGAATTAAAGTTGGTGTCTCACTACCCATACTACAAATTCAAAATGAATAAAATAATAATTTGAGCCAATTGTATAATAAAACAAATTAAAAACTTCTTGACCAAAATACCTGTACATAATTTCTAGCTTACAAACACCCCTTGCAGAAGCCCAGGGCGCAGAAAAAGCCTATTGTGTAGAGAACGAAAGGTTTACATCACAGAATTCTACAGAATATGGTACCTTATTTGACTTCAAGCATAAATACATGGTTTCCATTATTGTGTAGAGTAATATATAAAGACATTTTCTATTACCATCGGGCTATAATTCAATCACCATATACAACAAAAGTGTTAACAGGAACCTAACGCAAGGAAAAAGAAGAAAATGAAATCCAATGAATTGAAATAAAAGCTTCTCATAAACATGGAAAATCCTTTGGTACAAAGGTCCGACCTTTTTGTCTTCAGAAATGGGCAAGAAGGGTAGCTTCTTGGCCGTAGCACCTGCAGCTGTAGGAGACAAGGAGCTAAAGTGACGCCGTTTTCTGTCCGGTTCACCCATGCTCCCCATTGATACACACACCCGCAAACCCTAGACCCACCCAAAACCGTTCCACTCACATTATAAACCAGAAAGATTTCGATGAAACTCTTCCCAACATGACAAGACTATACCACAACAATCAAGACAGATTTTTCGAAGCACAACCAGATTATCAAATCCAATTCTCAAAAACCCTAATTCAAACCGACTGACCCCACATCCTAGTATAGCAACAACAGATTATTTTCCACAACCTTGAAGCCTTGTGAAGAATAAAGCCCCCTTTTTCTTCTTTTGTTTGTCACCCCGTCTGCCTCTCTCAGGGCTCTGCCAGCAGTTCCGATCTCCCTCTGCAGCTCGAAGAGAGGGGAGGGAATGTGCGGGGTAGTTTTTTATTTTCTTTGTTTTCCTCGTTTCGTTCAAGAAATGGTGACACGGAATTTTGGTAATGCTTGGAGGGTGGTTTCGGAATTTCAAAAGAACGAGTGGGTTTGATGATGATCACAGTGATCACAGTCTCGCGTCAGAGGGTGTGGGGTCCGATTTGATCTTTAATTTTATTGGTTAAACGTGTGGGAGATAATGCACTATTTACATGCTCGGTCTATGCTTTTTCTTAGAAGAGGGTGATCACAACCTAAAATGAATTAAGCAAAGCATGATGGAAATGGTCCCAGGTACATAAATATAAACCGGATGATTTCGCCAATTGGGAATATTAGTAAAATTATGATCAAATTAAGCATAAGAAATACAGCGTATTAAAGCATAGTATGGGAGTATTATGAACTCTAGAAGCGTGCCTGAAGCAAATATCTTCAAGATGAACCTTTCATTGAACAAAAAAAATTATTTTAAAGATGTGTTATAAATATCCCAAGTGTGGATGCCTATCTCCTTATTTTTTTAAGATCATCAAATAACTCCTACTACTTCCACTATGAATTAATCTTGTAACCCACCCCCACTCACATTTATATGGTTTATTAGTCACTATCTATCACTTAAGTATAAGTGTAACCTATATATAAGACTATGTCTATAAATAGGACATATCATTGTATTGTGATGCAAGTGGAAAAAAATGAAGGAATACAATATCATTCTCTCATTTTCTTATCTAAATCTCTTCTCTAATCTATTTTCTTTATTAGTTAATTTCATAACATGTTATCAATACAAAACTCTACCATCCAAGTTCATGGCTTCTTATTAATTTTTAAATAGTTTAATCCATATGTCATGGTAAGACTTTTCCAATTTATTTAGAGGAAATGATGGTTTTGCATATTAACCTTATTAATTCATTGGCAACCCAATATTTATTCATTGTATTGAGGTATGGAAATTTTTATTTCTATTTTTTACATTTCTTATATTTTCATGATTCTATTATCTTTATACTTGTTGATTTATTATGAGGTTTATTTTCATTTATAACATTACTATAAATGATTATCATCCCCGATATTAATTAATTGTTGTCTCAGAAATAAGATGTTAAACACATAAATAAATGAATAACAACCATTGTACTCTTTATGGTTTTGTGATTAGATGGCCAGAAGTCATATCACTTTTGATGATTCTTTGATAAAGGACGATCTCGTGGTTGTAATAAATGACATGACAAGATTGTCACAATCTCATAATCTATATCAAAGTTCTAAAGACTGATGGTTTGAATATCAAATGATACAAAAGAGCTTTATAGTTCTGAAAAATTTCACTATGGTCCAATTAAGACTAATATTTGATGAAATTGATGATGTACTCCTGAAAGCAAAGAACGTATCTATAAGAGTGATAAGAGCATGACCACATTGTATCGATAGAATTGATAACTAAAAGAGCAATAATTTTTGGGCTTGATTATTGAATCATAATAGCGAAAATAGTAATAGTCTTATGATCAATATGATAAAATTATGAACCAATATTATATTATAACCAAAAGTCATATAGACAAATATATATCAATTTATTGAAAGTAAATGTTAAAAAATGGTTGTGAAGCCAAAAGGATCATGTGATATCATGTGTTATTACGTTAATGATATATTGAAATAAAGTTGTCTTTCATATTCCTCTTAAATTATATAGTTCCTAAAGAACTATATGTAAGAATATCAATATGGCTTCAAAAAACTAATACTGATTTTTCTTTATAAGTAGACAAAGTTTTGATAGTGAAAAATATGACCCATAGATCTACATCACTACTTTGGTTCTCCAAAGAGTGTAAATGTGATAGCATAATTGGATTAAAATCTATAATTATATATAAACTAGGAAGTACTTAGGCTTCCAAGCAAAAGATAGGTTATTGGCCTTAACCTATTATATACTAGTCACTGTTTATGACACATATGAATAAAAGAATTACGTTTAAATGACTCACACTTAAAGAAAAGACTATTAGAATACAAGTGTGAGTTGATATTTGACATATTTCTCATATAGCTCAATTAATCTCATAAATAAATATCACATAGACTTAATCATATGTTATAGTAATTGAAAAGTTTACTATTGGTAAAGAAACATAGAACAGTAAACCAGAAGTTTGCTTATCTAATCAGATTTATTGTTAAAATATCTTGTTTGATAATCTTGAATTATTACTGATCTAATTAGATTTGTTGTTGGCATGTCTTGTTTAATGGTCTTGAATTATATGATGTAACAAATTATTGGGAATTGTGTATTAATATCCATTGAAGAATCAAAAGATTCTTCCCAAATAGCCAACACATATATAATTTATATATACTGTTTGTTTTTAAAGAAAATCGATTATAAGAATATCACTAGTCATGTTTTGTTTTGAAATGAATCTCTACATTTCTGGAAATATGTCAAACGCATATATATGGGCCCATTCATAGCATGTAAATCATGCGAGTATTTAGTAAATTTGACAAATGCATTTATATAAAATGGTAACAAGTGTAATTGACACTAGTTTGCAACATAAAGCTTACAAGATTGTTTAGATAAATATTACGTGAGATTTCTAGACTATGTAATCCTTAAAACTTGATCTTAAATATGCTAGTGAATTTATATGTCTGGCTTTTGATGTTGAAAAGCCTGCTTAAAAAACTGATGTGGTAAAATCATTTGTTAATGCCTCCATAAGTAGTTGGATCAATATTTATGAAATAATTTTTTTTCCATTTTAGTGTTGACATATTTAATTTGATATATTGCAACACTTATACACGTCCCGACAACAAAATTCTCCCAATAAAATTGGTTTTTGGTTAGGGGCTAGATATTTTTCATCTTAAAATTTAAATGTGCAATGTTTATTTCTACTGACCCGCCATAATGCATATAGATGGATATTTAAAAAAAGTTGAGACATATTAGGTAAGAACTTTCTTCTTCTTATTTGTTTCTAAATGGAACAAAAGAATGTTTCTAAAGTAAGCAAATAGATTTAGGAGATCTATACTGCATAATTAGTTGATTATCATTCGACAATATTTTTCCAACATGAGAGAGAGAAATTGAAAAGCTAGAAAAAAGAACACCCGAATGCATTATTACTATCAAATATATATCCTTAAATATATCAGTATGGACCAGAAGTTCATCAAACATTGCATTTATGAAATGTTACAAAATATCTTACTAACCTAAATGAGAATTTCTAAATCTCTTATTCTAGTTGAAAATGCTTCAATTAGTATAAATAAAAGTGAGACATGCCAAAAGCACAAGAGATTAATCGGTTCCAATATAAATATCTTAAACAAAGAAGAGCACAAAATTTAGAAGTCATATTGAGGAGGCATGTACTCTAAAAGAGTGCCAAGACTAACTAATTGTAAAACTCTAAAAGAGGTTCAGGCACGTGAAAAGTAAGAAAGAAATCTGAATAAGTTATGTCACAAGAGGAAAAATAAAACCAAAAAGATAAAGTTGTCAACAACGATTTTGATAATAATATCACGTGATAAAAAGAGGATCTTACACATAAATATATCATGCAAAATAAATAGATATTTGGCCAAAAAGAAAAGTAAAAGGAAAAAAGCCGCAGTGAAAATATGATTATATTATTTCAATATGTGAAGTTATGGACCTATAGTCAAAACACATAAAATATGCAGTATTATAGGACATATGAACATTTATGTGAAAATAAAGATTTTCACAGAAGTCTGATAATGATTATGATGAGACATATTATTTTGTAATGGATGTAATTATTTATGTATATATAGTTTGACAGTATACAAAAAATAAGATATGTGTCTATTAGATATTGTTATAGCCTATGCATTGGGTGTATTAAATAGTGAAATTTACATAGCAAGTCTTGCAGGATCCAAAATATGTTAGAAGTATATATAAGAAAGTCATTCAATATATCAAATGTTATGAAGATTAAAATAACACGAGTATGTACTATCCATTTTATCATTCTGGATTAAAATATGAGATTTCCTGAAGGATTTAAGTTGCTAGAAACATACAATTCAAGTTTTTGAGAATAATACTTAATTAAGTTGAATAAGTCTCTATAAGAATTGAAGCAGTCAGGAGTATGTGGTATAACAGACTAAGTAAATATCTGTTAAAGGAAGAATATAAAAATGATCTAATTCGCCCATATATTTTTATGAAACAATATGAAAATGAGTTTGACATAATTGTTGTTTTTGTTGATGATATAAATATCATCAGAACTCTTAAAGAGCTCATAAAAGCTACAAATTACTTACAAGAAAGATTTGAAAGGAGGGACTTGGGAAGAATAAAGTTTTGTCTTAGATTGCAAATTGAATACTTGAGAAATGAAATTTTTGCGTATCAAATAATTGATACAAGAAATGTCTTGAAATGTTTTGTATGGATAAATCACATCTATTCCATTATGTATTCTAGTAGTTCTAAGATCTTTGGAGGGGAATAAAGATTCTTTTAGATTTCGAGAAGGTAATAAAGAACTACTTAGTCCAGAAGCACCAAATCATAGGTCTAGAAGTACCATATCATAGTACAATAGGTGCAGCTATATATCTTGCCAGTCACGCATAACCTGACATATCATTTGCTGTTAACTTACTATTACAATATAGTTCTTTACCAACACAAATGCATTAAAATAGAATTCTAGATTCTTTTCCGATCCATATGTTGGTAATTCCAGATGGAGTATTCATTTCATAATATTCAAAAGATGGTGAAATTATATCTAGCAAATCTGTTCAAATAAAAATCTAATAAATTTGTTCACCAAGTCACTTCCTGTTAAAATATTTGAAAAGCTTGTTCATGATATTGGAAGTCATGAACTCAAGGATATCAATTGATATTACCAAAAGGGGGAGTTAATACATGCCTCTTTTTTC